AGGCTGCCCAGGGAGGGTGTGGAGTCTCCTTCTCTGGAGACTTTCAAAACCCGCCTGGACATGTTCCTGTGTGACCTGCTCTGGGGGATCCTTCTCTGGCAGCAGAGTTGGACTAGATGATCTCTAGAGGTCCCTTCCAACCCTGAACATTCTATGATTCTATGATTGCAATAGTCCAGGGAGTCAGAACGAACCATCTGTTTACCAGTTTAGCAGGTGAAATGGCAGAATCACAGAGCACAGCCCAAGGAGAGCTGTAATAGCTCACCAGAAATATTTGCCTTTAGGTTTCAAGGCTGAGCTCTACACGTGGTCCAGCCACCCGCTTGCTGCAGGGCACTGTGGTGCCACCACCCTTCGGGGATGCTCATGGAACTGGACACCTAAAAGTATCCCAGATGGGGCTCACTGCTGCCATGTCCCACAGGCAGACCGCCGCTGTGGGGCGATGGGCACAGTACCCCATATAGCTCCCTGCAGAACATCCCAGGGCATGAGGCAGCAGCCATGGGTGCAAAGTGAGGGAAACAGCGGCGTTTACTCCCTTCAAGGAAGCTCTCTGCCCTGTGCAGCCATGTTGAGTAGCAACATCTTCTTCATGTCATGTGCAGGGTGACAGGACCAGGACAGCAAGGCTGCACAGCTCCACAGGGGTCCCCAAAACACCCTGCACCCCTGCTCATGGAAACAGCCCTTACCAGGCTCCTGGGGCTCAGCTATTCCAGGTAAACCCCAATAAATCTGTACAGCAGCTTCTGAACCAGCCTCAGCGTTAGCACCACAGAGCCTTAGTAATGGCATTAGTCACGTGCCGCAAGGCTGGCAGGGAGGCCTCCAGGTACAGCTGCGAGTAACCCCAGTGAGAGGTTCCTGCTTCTCTTCAGTATTTACAAAGTGTGCAGGGTTTTTTGTTGGTGGTTTTTTTTACATGTTATGAGGAACAAGGCAGCATTGCTACGCACAGAGCTATTCAGACACAGTAACTCAGACTAGCTTCTTGTGAAGGCGCGTGGAAACTGGACTGGACTAAGCCATGAAACACACTAAGGTAAGTCTGGCCTGACCGCGTGTGGCATTATTTTTGGAGTAAATTCTCTCCTCCACATCTATTTCACACACTGCTTTGCAATATCTCTGCAACCCCACAAGTTTTTGCGTACTGTATAGTACTCAGTTAAACAATCTATTACCTACCTGTATTTACAGATTTATAAAAAGTGATGTTGACTGTTACAGTAACACAAAAATCTTAATTTTCTTTGGTCTGAACACTGCTGCAAATTACCCAGTTGCTACCAAGGTGTAGGAAACTCTGCAGAATGACTAGTTTTATCTATTATGATAGAACATTAAATCAAGCATTTGAACTATGTGCCCCTGCTTCCTGATACTCTAGCCAGCTCACATTTTTAATTCATTTCAATCTAGAAATTAAAAAAAAACAAAAAAACCAAAACCAACTTCATTTAAGTTGTTGTGCACCTGATCTAGTTAGGGTAGGAAATACTTAATAATGCATTGTATCAGGTTCTCTGTGTTGGAGAGTGTGTTTTGGCCATTGACTGCAAGACTAGAGTGCATTACAAGTATTTTGGGGACTGCTAGTGTGATAAATTACGTGCTCCCCTTTCTGACTGGATCTGTGAGCAAGTCCTGAGCCAAACTGGGCAGATCTCTAATGACAAGAACGAAAAACACTGACTGACATGGGCTGGTCTTCTAAAAGCCAGAAAGGAGTGCTTGTGCTGTCAACACTGCTCCAAGCTCAAGGTGTGCTGCTGAGAAAGGTGATGGCAGTTGGCAACGGCTACTTTGTGCTGAGCTGTGTGCTCACCTCATTTTCTTTGTGCCTTGGCAATCTGCAAAGGTGGTCCTAGCCCCACCTGACAGCCCCTTCACAGCCCCACTCCAGTTGAATTTTGCATTTTGTCACTCCCAACCTTAACCCTAATCACACAGTCCCTGAGTTAACTTTCGTTCTGGATGTCACTTGAAGCAGAAATATGTTTCACTCTTTGTAACAATTGGAGACCAAGAAGTCTGCATCCCAGCAGACCTCACATGGTTCAAACCCTACTTTCAAATTTCTAAGTCTTTGACTTCTACTTGGGGGAAAAAAAAAAAAATCCTAATATTTAAAGAGACCAACCTGCAGTTATCGAGGGCTTGGGTCACTCCCAGAGAAACCCTGAGGCTCTCCCCTGGCTGCACTGTGAACAGTTCCACACTTGGAAACGGGGGTTGTGTAACAGAGTTTTACCCACTCGTACCTCCTGCCCTTCCAAGTATTACACACCACCTTTTAATTGCTTAACCGAAAAGCCTCTGGAAATAGGCTTCAGATTAGCAGATGATCAGCAGTGAACAAGATCAGCGCTGTTTGAGTTAACCCGAACACGTGCTTACTCAGCCTGGCATTAAATTGTCATGCGACAGATGCCCCCCAGGCCTCGCACAGTTCACTCCCTCCCGTACACCTTATTCTCTCAAAGAAAGGAAGGACACATCCTTAGGCTAAGCAGACCTGATTTTTCCCAGTCAGGGTTATAAAGCCAGATGGAAAATCTTTATTGATTATAGGAAGTCTTCTGTAATAATTGTGGGAGATGAGGCATCATGTTCATTGTTCATGTTATTTTACAACACTTGGTGGAGTAAGAACACCCTAGGAAAAGTATTTTAGTCCAAATCCGTAACACAGTATTTAATCCCAAGGACAGCAAGAGAGAAATGCACTATAGAGTGCCGTTATTACATTAAGATACAGAATTTTATTTCCCAAACCAATTCTTAATGTTGTTTTTATCCAAGTCATTAATGGTCAACACATTCAGAACATTTTCTTCTTCTCCTTCACATTTTACAACTCCAACTCCTGATAGTTTTGCAGAATGGGTTAGTTCAGATGTGCAGCTGTATTCTACATTAAATGACCACGAATCGTATCGGTAGCTTCCAACCACTTACTTGTAGTCATTGGTAGCATACGCAGCAGTTTTTTCAGTAGTTTAAAACGGGGTTGGATTTCATGTTCTTGTACTGGGACAGCGTGATTCCGTACAGCTGCATCTTTCCAACGTTCAACAGGAGCTGAGACTCGGCGCTGCAGCCAAGCCTGTGCTGGCTACATCCAACAGCCTGTCCGCTGGTCAGGGGGAGCAGCAGCACCATCCCCAAGCCTTGCAGCCAAGCTGGTCCAGACCGCTGGAATGACATGTCTCTCAGGCTGCTAAATGTTTTGGATACATTGAAAATAACAAAACGAACAACAGGCAAGAGCTTAATTTTCTAACAATTTCTTTGTTGTACAGCTGACTTATTGTTCTAACACATTAATGGAAATCTTACACACTTGAAAACTACCAAAATAAAAACCCAGGTATCTAAAAGCATGCTGAACTCAGGAAGGCACCTGGCAAAGATTTTTCCAAAAATAAATATTCTGTCGGGAACAGCTTGCTCATAACACTCGGTCTGTAGAGTACTGCAGTTCCAACATCTCCAGTCCCACTGGAGTTACTGAAGTTGGTACCAGAGTATCACTTATGACAGAGAGGTAACTCATCCTCCAAGCTGGTTGGAGCACGTTGCCCTTGAACGTTGTCTGTTACTTCTGCTTTGCTGACAGATCTATAGTAGCTCCTGGTAGCTTTCTCTGGTCTTCAAATCCCCAGCAGATGTGCAATGTTTCATTTGAACTGGTTATCAATCAGGGTTCCTTTCATCTTGGCTTTCTTTGCTTCCAACTCAGCCTGATTAAGAAAATTAAGACAAAATGAAATAATGTCTGGATATATTTCCCTGCCATGCTCCATTGAAGACTGGTCTTCTTGTCTGATCACCGCAAGCTTTTCACACCAGGAGCAAGAGTCACTCAAGTTCTTTGCTGACTCCCTCCTGCCCTAAGACAGGGACCACCTTTAGAATCATAGAAAACCCAAGACTAACTGCACAGGAGACAATTTCATACTTTCTGTCCTCAGGTGGAAGCTGCACATTCCCCTCCACCACCCACCTACTATCCTCCTGTCACAGCAGGCAAGATCAGCTCCGATGTTCTCGCCACCAATTTTTCAAGGGACCCTTCTGGTAGCAGTGAGCTGGCAGGTCCTCCACAAGGGTTTTTAGCTTGCCCTGATGCCTCATAGCAAAGACCTGCTTGGCCAAGCAGGTTTGGGAGCACAGCATCAGGGGTGTTCTGGTCGGCAAAGCCATAACCTGGTTTCCCCTGCCCTTGTTCTTTGTCCAAAAGGTCATGGAAAGTCTCCCTGCACAGGCTCTGCTGGCTGCTCTTGAGTTTGCTCTATTATATTGCATATAACATAACTTTAAGTTCAGGAGGACTAGAAGAACATCTCTGTAAAACCTGTAAAGGAAAAGTCATCCGCACAAAGCTACAAGTTACCTAGAACAGGACCTCTCTACACTTGTAGTCCCATGTGCAAGATACTTTTTGTGTACAAAGCCAACAGATTTCAGGGATTCACGTTCAACACCAAAGAAAACACTCACCAACTCCTGCAGCCTTCTTTTGCTCATGCCTTTGCGTTCCAGCTGCTTCTCAATCACTTTTGCATTCTGCGCATATGAGTCTGCAATCTCCCTCTGAAACACACACACAGTGTCACTTTGCAACAGCAAACCTCAAAGCAACACCACCTCATCCACGCGGCGAGATGATTGCTGGCACAGATCGGTGTCTGAGACAGCTGCCCAGTTCAGCTGTGACTGCCACCAAGGGCAGCAGACAAAACTCACTGCTTCAATCTCCTCCTCCTCTTCATCAATTGTGGAGACAGTGACAGAACTGAACTTGCCCATGTCTTTGGTCCGTTTGGTCATCATCACCTGGGCGAGCAGCAGAGCATTTTGTTAAACCCTAGCAACAGTTGTGTCAGTAGTTCTCCCTCTGCAAAGCTTTCCAGGCTTCTCATGCAAAGTCATTAAAATTTCCTGAACACCGTGGGTGGCAAAGGAGAATTATTCCCAGTGATTTCTGGGCTTAGAGCTGTTGTTATCAGAAGCAAACTCACTGATATATAACAGATGAGCCAGATTTTGAGAATCACTGTGCAGACTACAAATCTGACCTATTTACAAATGGAAATTTACTGGTAAGTAAACCTACACATGAGGCACAGTCTAGATTCCCACGTTTGTTTTGTTTTCCCTTCCTGAATTATTGTTCAGAGGTCCTTTTCTTTCTTCTTTCTCCCCTCTGCCCCTGCCATTAAGTGATTTTACTCACTATGCCTTTATGAAAAGCAGGAATAGCCTTTTTACTTCTCTCAAGCCAATTACCTTTTTGGGAGGTTCTTGTTTCTGAGTATATATGTTTGTCTTCCCAAAACCCTGGCCAAATTTGACCACAGCACCGTCAA